GAGGACACATGCTATCCCTTTAGTGGTTCCATTGCAACTAATGGATCTGGAACTCCAATCCACTGGATTTTCCAGTCCCTTTCATCAGGAGCAACATCTTAGTGTTGGGGGGGGGGTATATAAATGTATACTGCCCCTCTGTACACAGTTTATCTCTTCACTGATACTTCACCTCAGGGATGAGGTGTGCATCTTCAAGGTCAGGAATTACAGGGTATATGAAGGGAGGACAAAGCTTCATTCTGCTTCAATAATTTAGAACTTTTTGCTGTCTAACAGGTAATAGTGCATGGTCTATATCTCTTGCAGGGGAATATCCTCATGAGACATTTCATCAATTACAGTGGTCTCTTAAATTTGGTTCTTTCTCTATGGGGCCTATTTCAATCATATCAGCCTCCTAGCTTGACATTTTCCTGGGGTAATGAATTTCATAACAGATTGTTAGTCTCAGTCCTCACTTTCTCCTGACCAAATGGATTCTCCATTGTGAGGTTTTCTGATAGATTTGTTCTCAGTTTGGGCCTCCAGTGATAGCTTTTGACACTTATTGATACTCAACTACAAGCTTTGGAGTCTCCACTATCTCATTCTCAGGCTTGGGATAGATGCATTCAGTTCTGTCTCGTTGGGATTGCACGTCTATGACTTTCCCTCACTTCATCTGTTACTCAGAGTTCTGGCTATATTTCAATCCTCTATTTGCAAGATGTTGCTAGCCTAGATTGGCCAGCCTAGCCATGATTTCCTCTCCTACAGTTTCTTCATGTGAGTCCACCTTTGCATCTTCCTTTTTGGCTATCTTTATTGAGGCAGTCTCAACCCAACATTCTACACCAAGACTTTTCCCAACTCATTGGGGTTTAATGTCTACAGTTGCCTGGGGTGTGCCTCACAAGGAGTTTGTACCCACTTTACCAAACATGTTCACCCTATCATGTTTTGACCTGTTTTTCACTTGGGTTTAGCTTCATCTCCTGTAGTTTAGGTCAGACAACTTTTTCATCTCCTTTTAGTTATCCTAAACATTTGAAGGTTTTGGGACTCCTCATTGCTATCCAGCCTTATTCCTAAATGGCCTTTTCCATTACTTAATCAATATATTAAGGTGGTACAACATGCCTTGTCTTGACAATCAATCGAGCCTTTAGCCTCATGTTACATATATCACCTCTCCATTTATTGGGTATTCTTGTTGCTGCTGGCATGCTGGTATCATCAGTTGGAGTTGGTGGCATATTTGTAGGACTCTTTATCTCTACCCTTAGGTCCTTTCTTTCTAAGTCTCTGGCAACAGAGAAGGGGGATACATCCCTCTCCACAATTCTTTTGCCAACTATTTCTCACCCCTACAATTGATCATACACAAATCATTTGTTTTGTCCATTCAGGCCTAAAGGTGTTGTGTGGCTCACTCTAACTACTTTTGTGGTGATAGTTCTAACTTCTGTATTCTTTGGGATCTTTAGGTTTCCCAAGATTTATTCCCACTACCTTGGTGGTGGATTTGCAAATATCCATGTTGGATATTCTGGATTTTACAGGGGAGGAATTTTCTAATAGTTACATCTCATCAGATTCAGCACATTTATGTCTTCAACTGCCCATTTCTTTTATTCACTGAAAGATATTTTATGGCCCTGTATGTGGACTTCTCCCAATGCTTTTCTCTCACATTCTGACAATTTTTTCTGGTGGTTTTCTACTATCCCTCCCCATACCATGGACGTTTTAGCAACATCTGCTACATTATACGAAGGAGGGAGTAATCTTGTCTTTCTTTTTCAGGGTTCTATAAATCTTGCTTTCACTGAATCCCAGTCTATGGTGAGTGTTGCCCAGACAGGTGTGCTTTTATCAGTCTAATTCCACACTAGCAACCCATTTGACTATAGTTACTACTGGTTGCAACAGGCTTTATAGAAATGAGGGATTCCACAAGACCATCTAGACACTTACCATATTATCATGGACTGCTACATGGATTATAATGAGTAAAGCTAAAGGGGATTCTGCCTGTCCCTGCCAATCATTGGATTGAATAAATCGGGGTCAGTTTGTTTTTAAAATTTACGGAACTTGGTTCACCTACTGCACTGTTCCTCAGGACTCCTTAATGTGCACTACCCCACAGATTCTACTAATGGAGCTAGGGAATTCTTACCATACCTAGTTTCCAGTTACTGGGGTGGTGGACAGAGGCTTTTCCTCCAGAGTGTTTGAGTGTGTTTCTCCACTCTTGGAGAAGAGGGCAAAGCTGGGGGCCCTCCTACCCGGATCCCTGAATGTATTTCCCAGCTGTCAGTAGGAGTGGGACCAGCCTCTGTGGGAGCCTACTCATAATACTGGTTCAGATTTGATTCTACACTATCCAGTGCTTGGCCCTTCTTATAAACAATGTTGGGTTGTATATTGTTCATGGATGGAGGTCCACTATCTTCTCATAATTCCAAACATGAAGTGGTCCCATCCTAGATCTTTGGTTGAACATAGTGTTCCACATACTCTCCATAATTCTGGGGGCAAGAGGAATGCACCTTGCCCACTCGGTTGGAGAGTGAGAATTAATGTTTATAATTCCAGACAGGATTAGTTCTGTTCTTTTGATTGAGTAAGGCATACATGATCCCGTCATTCCAAGTCTGGGGTGGTGCCTTTCGGACTTTTTCAGTTGGACAAGGAAGCTGCTTCCTTTCTCGTTGTAATTCCAGTAATTCGGAATGCATCACTCTATGGCTATAGGTTGGGATCCAATCAAAATTTTATCTATATATTACATTGCGGTCTAATTCCATAGCCACCAACATGGGATATAGGGACCAAGACCCTTTAATTCCAACCCCAAGTTGTAGAACCTCAGCTAACTGGTTGGGGCTAATCTATAATAATTACTCACCTACCAATATTAAGTTCTGAGTGAAGAGCAAACCTGTTCTGGATGTAGTGCAGTTTCCCCACTAGGGTACCACTTTTATCTTGGTTCACGCCTGTTCTATACAGATGCTTTCTGTATGGACAATGTCCTCACTGGCCCCTCCACCTTCTCAATGTGGGATTCTAGCAGAGAGGAAGTTAACATTTTCCTAAATTGAAAATGTATTTCCAATAATATTTACCTCCTCTGACACTCTCCTGCCCTTCCTCCCCACTAAGAGCCAGTTTTAGTGACTTGGATGGTATAAGTCTCAAAAAAAGTGATTACATTATCTGAGTGAGGTGCTTATATACAGTGTCAGGATAGAGGGTGCATTGATGTGGGTGGAGGAATTTGCAAATTAGATGTTACCAAGGGCATTCCAATGGGGTATAAAAGACTGAAGAATGCGAGACCAATGCTTAGATAGGCAAAACCAATATCGAGGAATAGCTAAAGTGTCAGTGGAAGTAAGTATTATTGGAAATACATTTTCAATTTAGGAAAATGTGAGCTTGCAGTGATTTCTACTTCTAACCCATCTTCAATTTTTTCATTCTAGAAATTGAAGCATTGTAATGATTTTTTTTTCTCAATCTAATTATTTAGAAAAGTATCTAATCAATATTGTGGGCATGAAAGAAGACTTGATTTAAAAATACAGGAATGATGAATTGGCAAGTTAATATTCAAGTGAGCCAAGGAAAGAATGTTCTTTCAGCCTTCTCTGAGCCATGTTTCTAATTTGGTATTTTAAAAAACAGATTCTGAAAGCTGGTAAACTTTTAACTTCTTGCTTCACAGCTTGATCTTCCTTTTGTTTAGCTTATTGGCATGTTCCATTTATGCAACTATATAGCTGATAAAACCCTCTTCACAATTACTGTTTATTTTGTATTTACTTTTTTGACTTATTAGCATGTTCAACATATGAAATGATAGAGGTAACATTGTTTCTCTTTGACTTATTACCATCTTCTATGTATGAAACATTAGAGGGGATGTTATACATGTTAGGCTTGTTGGCATGTTCCATATATGGAATTATAAAGCTAAAGATGTACCTGTTTGGCTATTGGCATATTGCACATATGAAATGATAGAATTGACACCATTCATGTTTTTGGCTAATTGCCATGATCTATATATGAAATGATAGAGTTGATGTTGTGCCTGTTTAGCTTATTGGCATGCTCCATATTTGAAATATTAGAGCTGATGTCATTCCTCTTTGGCTTAGTAACGTATTTCAAATATGTAAGGATAGAGCTGATGTTGTGCATGTTTGACTTACATACATGGAGCAATATAGCTAATGCTATTTCTGTTTGGCTTATTAGCATGTTCTATATATGAATCAGTGGAGTTGATGTTGTACCTATTTGGCTTATTAGCATGCTCTATATATGAATCAGTGGAGTTGATGTTGTGCCTGTGTGGCTTATTAGCATGTTCTATATATGAATCAGTGGAGCTGATGTTGTGCCTGTTTGGTTTATTGGCATGTTCTGTATATGAATCAGTGTAGTTGATGATGTGCCTATTTGGCTTATTAGCATGTTCTGTATATGAATCAGTGGAGTTGATGCTCTGCCTATTTGGTTTATTGGCATGTTCTGCATATGAATCAGTGGAGTTGATGTTGTGCCTGTTTGTCTTATTAGCATGTTCTATATATGAATCAGTGGAGTTGATGTTGTGCCTATATGGCTTATTAGCATGTTCTATATATGAATCAGTGGAGTTGATGTTGTGCCTATTTGGCTTATTAGCATGTTCTATATATGAATCAGTGGAGTTGATGTTGTGCCTATATGGCTTATTAGCATGTTCTATATATGAATCAGTGGAGTTGATGTTGTGCCTATTTGGCTTATTAGCATGTTCTATATATGAATCAGTGGAGTTGACGCTCTGCCTATTTGGCTTATTGGCATGTTCTATATATGAAAATATTGAGCTGATGTTGAGGCTATTTAACTTATTAGCATGTTCTATATATGAATCAGTGGAGTTAATATTGTGCCTATTTGGCTTATTAGCTTGTTCTATATATGAATCAGTGGAGTTGACGCTCTGCCTATTTGGCTTATTGGCATGTTCTATATATGAAAATACTGAGCTGATGTTGTGGCTATTTAAATTATTAGCATGTTCTATATATGAAAATATGGAGCTGATGCTGCAGTTATTTAACTTATTGACATGTTCCATATATATATGAAAAAATAGAACTGATCTTCATGATCATTATTTAATTTACAGTTAAAGTTTATCTTATTCATATGTTCCATATTGTGAACAATAGAGATGATGTCATGCCTGTTTGGCTTAGTGGAATGTTCCATATATGAAATGATAGAGCTAATATCATTCTTCTTTGTCGTACTAGCATGTTCTAGATATGAAACAATAAGGCTGGTGTATTGCCTGCATAGTGAGTAATTCTTGACTAATTTCCCAAAAGGGGGCCAAAAGCTGCTTGGAGGGGTTCTCTTTTTTAACCACTCGCACCACTATACAGTAATGTTATCCATCAGTCAGTAGACACTAAAATGACATCACATAAGTGATGCTTAACATTGCAATTTGTACTTTCATAATGTCAGTGAAACCTGTGCATGCCATGAATCACAGGAAGAATTATGCACTCTGTAGGCTACAACACAGCATGACATATAAACTTCAAGTGCAAGAAATAAAAATATTTGTTACTCTTAATTTTGGTTTTATTTACTCTTGAAACAGAACACTTATGGTGACCCTGCGGAAGTACATCTAGTTTTATTATTGTCATACACAATTTTTGTGATGCCTGAGCTCATATTTTTATACCAAGAAATGTTATCCATATTTTTCTGTTTCCTTTTCAGAATGTGTTTTGAGCATGTTTTTTTTACAAGTTTGTTTTGATAATGACTTTATTTTTGACTATAAGTCTGTGGATTTACAATGCTAAAATATGGTGTTCATTTCCCCATTATGAACACAGCAGATGGATCAAAGTGGTTTTGCTCTTAAATATACAAACAAAGCTTTATAAAAATATTTATAATTATAGTTAAAGGTACAATTGTAAGTATTCTTATTCTCAAGTTATATGTATGAATTTATAATTATAAATCATTTTATACAGAATCTACATAGAAGATATTGTTTAGTAAATTGTGAGAATGAATTTGAATTCACGATGATATGTATTTGAGTACCTGAAAAATGAAATATCAATTTTAAATAAAAATCAATGAATAATGGCACTTTAGACATAAATATATGAGGATTTCATGGGAAGAGCACAGTTAAGTGTTTACTTTTTGGAACTATGGAGCTCAGGTTCCAGGTTGGCATCCTATAACTGCAAAAACAAATCTGGCAGTGGGTGCTGCTCACTAGTTGCCTTCCCTCTAGTCTATCACGTCAGAAGTAGTGATGGCTAGTGTAGATATGCCATGTGTAACTTGTAGGATTTGTTTTTCCATCTGTTAAGGTCTTTTTCTTTTTGAATAGAAATTCTATATATACATTAGGTGATATTGGTAACCAGGATACTTTAAGGCATTTACTTAAATAATTTACTCTTATTGTTTTCCATAGGGATCACTTGGACTTGTATGGTGCTCTGTATCGCTTGTTTGTATGGCATAATGCTTATACTGTTTGCTACGAGTGTCATGGCTGTGACAAGCAGGTTTTAAAGAAATGGGTGGATTTACTAAATGGAGAGGTAATTGGTCTCCATGAAAAGTCCTTCCTTTGTCCTGACTTCTGGAGGGGTAGTCTTAGATTTGCTACAAACAATGTAAGTGAAACAAAATCAATGTGTTAGTTTTTGTAGTGATAAACCAGCATTAACTGTTGTTTGTACAGGGTAGTATACCTACTCATATGTTGCCAAGTAAATGGTAAAGTCTCTGAACTGGTAATAGATATAATTGGAACAATATATGATTTTTTAAAACACTGTAATATAAATTCAAATTTTGATAGTCCATGACATATCGTTTCTCATAATTGTGTACATGTGTTCTCTAAGAAAAGTGAGGTTTTAATTAGTTTACTTTTTAGTTTTAAAAATTCAGGAAAAATCTAAAATGGGATAGACGAAATATATCAAGTAAAGACACTTCATTTATTATAGGTTTGTATTTCTTTATTAAAATAGCTTCTTTTATTTTGTGTATATTAATATTAGTTTCTTGACAAATTATGTTAACTATTTTATTTTTGCTACAGTGTTTATATCCTTAAAATGTTGTTAGATAGTATTAAGGATGTCAATGTTCTGCTATTCCAGTGCTTGAATTCCTATCAATCTCCCCTATATACAGGTTATTACAGGCCTTACATTCTACATCGTAAACTACTTTCTCAACTGTAGTTGGTTTAATTGTATTTTCATATTGTCTTCAACTTTTTTTTTTCTGGTAAAAAAATATATTTGCCTACAACTGGAAGTTTATATATCCTTTCTATTTCTTTCCACAGTCTTTTTATTGTATTTGATGAGCCAGGTACGTATGGAATTACACAATAAACCAAATAGTCTGAATGGAGTTTCTTTTTTTCTGTCTACCTATCAGTTCTTAAGTATTTTTTAGCTATGCAGATAAGGTAATCATTCCTCTTCACCAAAACAAAGATACTTCCTTATCCAGCTCTTCTTTTGAACTGCAATTAGTTTTTGCTACAGACAATAACATTTTATGATCCCTATTTTTTTTAAACTTGTGATGAGCTGACAACCAATTCAAGTAAAGATCAGTATGTGTTTCCTTTCTAAGTGTCATCCTTTTAAAAGCATTATTAACCCTTCTAACCATGACATTAAGAAAAGATAAGTCACCCTCATTTGTATGGGTAAATTTGATATTAGGGTGTAATGAATTTAAAAATACTAAAAACTGTTCAACCATTTGTCCAGACACAAAGTCAATAATGTATAAAAAACTTCCTTATTAAATTGAAATATGGTTTACACAAGTACCACTCAATGAATATATTGTGTTCTTTCTTACCTTAAACATGATGGAATTTTGCTATCATTTGTGTTTTGTACAACACAGTTGTCATCCATTTCAGTATACTCATCAGTGTTTGTCCTTATCTTTATATAGGGAAACTGCTAGGAATTTGAGTACTAGAATAGAGGGACATGCTTCATCACATCTCCAAAATTTTAAAGATATGTTACACTGTAGAGAAAATGTAATTGTTAAAATATCTTGTGAAGTGTGAAGGATGTCTTCAGCATCCACATTTTTAGTTTACACCAGTGTTACTTAATTTCTATAGCAATGTTAAAAGAAATATTTCATTCTAGAAATACCACAATTGTACTAGACAAATAAATAAAAAAATACATTTTTAGGATTTTGTTTTGCTTAAATGTTTTTGTGCTTTACTGTCAGGTTTTATAGGGCCGGATTCTTTACAGTAGGTGTCTGTGACTTGTTGGTCATAAATTTCAACAATAAATGCACAGCACACAGTCGACTTGTTTTAAAATAATGTATTCAAAACAAGTCAAACATATGTACAAAGTTTGTTATCCTACTGGTTTATTTAGTACTTTAAGTAATTGTCTTTTTCTTACATCAAATTTCACACAGGTGGGTTCAATAACTTCAGAACACCCTTTGGAAAGACAAATTACTCTTCTACACTCTGTTATTACAATAAAAGCTGCGATAATTACTTTAGAAATTGGCTGTTATGGTAAACTCGCACAGTTTAACTTCACTTTTACTTTTGCTTTCACTAACTTACCTCCTTTCTAACTTGGTCGGTAATATATATATATATATATGCTCAACCAAGGCCTAGAACTTTCTACAAACTACTATGATGTGACAATACTTGATGGAACAATGAGAAAAACTTTAGAATGCACAGACAACATGACACATCAATATAACCTTCACTGACTAGTGAACTACACAACATATGATTTGTACACAGTTATATAAGTAAACTTGCAATAAATTATCACTTCTTAAAATAGTAAATTTAACACTTGTGCTTGATAACTATATAAATAATAACTCTCATATTAAATTTGAATGAAACAGTCATGTATATCTAACAATAAAGTCCTCTTCAAGAAAAATTTGTACAATATTTTATTAAAACTGTATACCAAGACAAGTTGTGCTCATACAGTCTGCACCAACATTTGCAGTCCCCTTGATGGTCTCTCATGGCATAGGGCATCATGTAGGGCTTCATCTTGACAGGATCTCTGATCATAGTTTCAATCTTGTTTTACGCAAGGTCTGTCATGCCTGGTTTATCTGTGAAGATATCTGCTTATTGGCACGGTAGATCATGTAGTTCTTTCATCTGCTTACCAGTCAGTTCTTCGCTGATGTTGACATCTTTGTATACCTCATCTCCATCCAGCAGTCTAAAATCTAGTACTTCTTTTTTATGACATAGTCCCTGTCTTTTTGTTCTGCATCTATGACAGCCATGCTTGCAATATTTATCCGTGTCTCAATAGGTTCTCCCGTTAGGTCTTCTTCCCTCTTGAAGTACCTCTTCAATAGATTGGCATGGTAGATCTTGGTTTTCCCGTCCACTTTCACCTTATAGTCCATTCTGTTGAGCACTTCTTGCATCTGCAGGGTGAGTTTGTTGTTGTTTGTGGGTAGCAGAACTAAGATTTTATGTCTAACCTTGAAACATTGATCCTTGGGCTTCTTATCATAGAAGTGCTTCTGACTGCCTTGAGCTGCATACAAACTTTCTTGAATGAGTTTCTCGTCCAGTCAGTTTCTGAGGTCTAACACATACTGGTATGTGATCCTCACTTCTGCCTTTTCTTCTCCTGTCCATAGCTCTTTCAACATCTACATCAGACCTCGTACTGTTCTTCCGTATAGGAACTCAGAGGGTGAAAATCATGTACTTGCTTGTGGAACTTCTCTGTAAACAATTAATACTGACTGCAGGTATGTGTTCCAGTCATATGGTCTCTCCTGGTACATCTTTGTCATGCTCTCAAAGACTCCATTGACTCTCTCACAAAGTTCATTACATCTAGGGTTGTACGGGGTGGTAAAGAGTTACCTAGTGTTGATTAGTCTGCACATCTCTTGCATCAGTTCTGAATTAAACTGGATCCCGCTGTTGCTGAGGGCTTCTTTTAGAAAGCCTATTCTGCTGAACACTTCCAGGAAGACTTCTGCTACTCTCTCTGTCTGTATCTTCAGCTTCTGAATAACGTGTCGCATAGTCAAATACTGTCAGCACATGCCAGTTCCCCTTGTTAGAAATAGGTGCCAATGGCTCTTCTATGAAAAGCATTTCACCCAATGGCACTTTGACTACCTTCCCTCTAGGTATATTGTCCTTTGGTAAATGTCACATGACCTGCAGAATCTGGTCATATCTCTAATGTCCCCCAGCCAATTGAAGGTGCTGGTGATTCTTGTCTGCTGTTGTCTTTTCTCCTAGGTATTCTCCCACAATTGACTCGTAAGCCTACTTCATCAATTGAGTTCAGTATTCTGTTGCTACTGTTTAACATTTCCATTATAACTGCTTTGATAGATCTGGTACAGCACTTCTTTATGGTCCTCTATTCTGTAGGTCTCTTTTCCCTTTACGTTTGGAGATGACTTGACTGGGTAATGAAAAAAACTATTGTAAATGTACGACATTTCAACAATATTATGTCATCCTCAGGTACAAGTAGTTTACAGAGACATATGAATATATATATATATATATATATATATACACACACACAGTATGGAACAAATATGTCACATGCAACGTTCAATCCATATGCAGAATGAATTTTCTCACATGCACCAGTATCAAAGCAATGTGTGGATGTGCACTACCAGTTTTTTTGGGGGATTCATTAGGCCACTTTGCTATGCTACCAGTTGGTTATTTGGGCTTTAGGTCTATCACCTGCCAAAGTCATTAAGGCCATCAATGTGTTGAGACTCCTCATCATTACTGAGGATGTGCATGGCTGGAATAATAAAGTGTGTGGCATTTGATTGGTTGTTTTGTGGCTGTGCAGCTTAGGGGAAACATTGATGACATGACCAGAGATTGCTTCACGGTCTAATATAGGTATCTTGGTGCCCTGGGCTGTTTTCTTCAGTTAAAATAGCTTCTTTCATTTTGTGTTTATTGATGTTTGGTTCTTTGTTTAAAATTATAGTGCTTTGTGTAGATATACTGTGGTTTTTTGAGTTGCAATAGTGGTAAACATGAGAGGTTTTTTTTATTATGTTCGGTGAATCTGGTTTCCATTTCTCTTCCAGTTTTTCTGATGTAGAATTCTAGACAGTTATTGCATGCTATTTTATAAATGACATTGATATTGTGTGATTCTATGTTATTTTTACTTAATAAATGATTGTAGTTTAAGGGCCGGGAATTTGAAGTCAACAGGAATTTTATGTTTAATTGCAAGTGTTCTCCAAGTGTTGATTATTTTTGAACTGATGTCAGAGATAAATGGTAAATTACAATGTAATGTTGTGTTGTTGTTTGGTTTATTGATATCAGTTTTGTTTGTGAGTTGAGTTTGAGGTTTTTTTTCTGAATTATTTCTCATTACTCAGTTATTACAATACAAGTAGTGATGCTTTTGCTTTCACTGACTTATCTCCTTTCTAGCTTGTTTGTCTCTCTCTCTCTCTATATATATATATATATATATATATTGCTGACTGAGGCCTAGAACTTTCTACAAACTACGAAATGTTATGATTTGACAGTATTCAATGAAACAGCGAGAACAACTTGGAAGGTTCTAGCAAGATGATGGAACAATATAACAGTCACCGACTAATGAACTACACAAATCATGCACAGTTACGTAAACAAACCTGTGATAAATTATCTCTTCTAAAAATATTAACTATCTAAATCATAACTCTTATATTAAATTTAAACAGTCTTGCACATCTAAAATTTACAAACATAGTTGCATAAATATACTGTGACATGAAATTGTCTAAACATTGTACATTTGTAATAAATTGATTATTGATTAGTAAAAAGTTGTAGCAGAAGTAACTTTGCAGTAAATGTTACCCATTAATACATTGTTTTATTTGTTATTTCACACAAAAGATTAAACATTGAAAATAAGAAGTGTTTATCAGTCATCTTCATTGGACACAGTTGTTTGAAATGAGTTTTCACTAAGCAAAGTTTGAAATTATATTAAAAGATAAAAGTCAAGCTAATCTTCTCAGTGTGGGTGATATGATCTTTGCATTTCTTTTTTAGGTATTTTAAACAGATTGTGAGCTCAATAATTCACAAGAATAAATTAGTGTCATCAGTAATGTATGTTCTTGAAGTTCTACACAAATATGAGAATCACTGTGACATATTAAAACACCATACATAAAAAGGATATGTCTGGAAAATAGCCATCAGAGGATCACTCCTGATTTCAGAGCACACCATTTATATCAGGAACACAGTAAAAAGCTGTGACCCTAATTCTGCCAGTTTTTGTTGCGAGTTGTGATATTATTGTTCAACAGAGTGAAGCATTATAGTGTGAAACCAAAGATTTTAGTTCTAAGAAAGACCATGTGATAGAAAAAAGATCATTAAACAAAATTTACAACCAATGGAGTAGAAAGGTTATGATTTGACAGTACTCAATGAAACAGTAAGAAATAATCGTAAAAGATACATTTGAAGTCACAGGCTGTGCTAATAATATTACAGGAAATGAGCTTGAAATTGAATAATGGTGCTAATGGAATTAGCATGATGGCAGAGACTGTGCTAATATTATAAGATATAAGCTTGAACTTAGAGAATGTACTAATAGTATGAGATCAGCTTGAAGTCAGAGATTATGCTAATGGTGATATAAGAGATAAGCTCTAAGTCAGAGACTGTGCTAATGGTAATATAAGAGATGAACTTGAAGTCAGAGATCATGCTTATAGTATAAGAGATGAGCTTGAAATTAGAAACTGTGCTATGGTAGTATAAGAGACGAGTTTGAAATTAGAGACAGTGCTGATGGTAGTATGAGAGATGAGCTTGAAATTAGAGACTGTGCTAATGGTATAAGAGATGAGTCTTGAAGTCAGATACAATGCTGATGATAGGTAGTCTCACAATAAACAAACTTTCAATATTAACAAATTAGGTTGTAATTAAACAACAGATGAAGAACTTAGTTCATTCAAAAACTAATTATGAGAGTTGTAAGATGTTTCCTTTGTAATCTGCTTTAATGTAGGGGAAAAATACTTTAAACTTAAGCTACAATAATTAATTAAGTTATAAATTTTATTATAGTTCAAGAGGTTTGAAGTTTTTGGAGTCATGAATTTTCTCTAAGACTGTATTATTGTGCTTCATTCAGTGATTATGTAAAGTTAATAAATTAACCTTTAACAAATCTTGATAACCTTAATGCTTTAGAAAAGTTAACGGTTCATTCTTCAAGTTGTGACGTAAACAAAAATTGGAAAAAAATATTTACATTTGTAATTTTCACTGATATTATGATAAGTAGTGTATTTGTAAATGCCAATATCAAAATGTGCAGAACATGGCTTTTAAGTGTTTTTAATAATTTTCTGTGAGAGAGAGAAATTGGCACATACAAAATATTTTACATAAAATAATAAGTGCTCATAAAAGATCTAAGATTAAGTACCTAGCAGTGGGAAACATTCATGTAACTTTGTCACTTTTTTTGTAACTGTGTAACTCGGTGCAGTACGAAACAATCGTATTTGCATAAAATAATAAGTGCTCATAAAAGATCTAAGATTAAGTACCTAGCAGTGGGAAACATTCATGTAACTTTATCACTTTTTTTGTAACTGTGTAACTTGGTGCAGTACGAAACAATCGTATTTACATAAAATAATAAGTGCTCATAAAAGATCTAAGATTAAGTACCTAGCAGTGGGAAACATTCATGTAACTTTGTCACCTTTTTTGTAACTGTGTAACTCGGTGCAGTACGAAACAATCGTGTAACTTTATAACTTTTTTGTAGTATCCTTATTGACTAAATGAATGTGGTTAACTATTCCAGTAATACACTTATGGTGTTGATATGTCCTAATGTTTTTATGTTTGGTTATAAAATCAAATATTGTGCTCTAGGAATATATAGTTAGACAAATATAATACAAAACAGAAATCTTTGAAACAAAATAGAACTTGTGTAATATACTGTTTTGGTCAAATAAATTGAAAAGTTAAAGGAATAATTGTAAACATTTACCGAAGTTGTAAAAGGAAAACTATTAAACAAGAATAAACATGATAAAGACTATAAATATTCAATAATTTAGTATTATTTTTACAAGGAAAAAAACTTCTGAAAAGCAAGTACTTTCAAATTGTTTTAACTAAGAGACTAAAAGATTTAGAAAATACTCACATTTTTTTATCTCTGGATTGTTATTATATTGTTTTGTTTTTTTCTTTTATACTAGAATAATACCACAGTAAACATCCCAGGATTTTCACTATTTCCATCACCTGAACTAGATAGGAGCTCATGGCAGGAAATGAAAAACCCTTATATAAACACTTTTGAAAATAAAGAAAAAAGTCCAGAACATAAGGAAAAGGTAATTATTTCATGTTGTTTGAGATTGCTATGTTTGTTTGTGTCTTGCAAATTTATTTATTTAAGTCTTTGCAAAAAATTATGTAACTTGCCATATCTCGTCATATGATAAAACCATAAGTTTCAGCTGATTTTATCAATAAAATATAATATTTGATGCAATTTAAACAAGTCATCTCACCCTTCACTATGGTATGGATATTCTGAACCAGTTAGAGAAATGTGTTTGCATATGGAAAAAGAAATGTTACTTTGTATATGCACAACATAGGCAACATTGAACACTTAAGACAATAGATTTTTTTATAATGCCCATGGCTCACAAGATTTACATACAAACCTAAATAACTTAAGTTTAGTTTTACCTCATTTAACAATTTGTATATAATAGTTTGAAGAAAATATCAAGTTTAGAGTTCTGAAGTTAAATATAATATTCAGGAACTGAATACCTGTTAGAATAAGTAAGTGCTGTTCAGCAATGGGTAAAGAATGTTGCAACAGAAATTATAACTTATCTTTGGGAAAGAATGTAGCATTATCAGTTATGTTTTACACTGATAAAGAGTGTGTCAAAAAAGGTTTTTCAAGTGCACACTACCTGTTAATGCACTTTTTATTTCATTTCTAATGGATAACAAGAAGCCATTTTTCTTATCTAGGACATCCTGTTTCCTACTACCAACCTATTACAATCCCTTCCCTATTTCAAACCCTGATCTCTGAAGTACTCTTCAAGTTTCTTCTTAAGCTTCTACAATGCTGCTTCTACCAAACCTCAAAAGCTATTTCATATTTCAACCACTATATAAAAAAGTAACACTCCCTTAACTGTAGTAATGTCTTAAGCGTTCCATATTTTGAATTTGTGTCCTGTAGCCTTGCTGCCTACATAGTTTTTTTATGAAAGTGTCATCTAGTTTTATGAATTCCAAACGTCTAATGATTTTTAAAGAGTTTCATGCCTCCAGTGAAAACATCAAGAGATTTCAGTCTATCCCCATGCATTAACCTCTCCAAACCTGAAGTAACATCAAGAGAGTACAGTCTATCCCTTTACATTAACCTCTCCAAACCTGAAGTAACATCAAGAGAGTTCAGTCTATCCCCATGCATTAACCTCTACAAACCTGAAGTAACATCAAGAGAGTTCAGTCTATCCCCATGCATTAACCTCTCCAAACCTGAAGTAACATCAAGAGATATCAGTCTATCCCCATACATTAACCTCTCCAAACCTGAAGTAACATCAAGAGATTTCAGTCTATCCCCATACATTAACCTCTCCAAACCTGAAGTAACATCAAGAGAGTTCAGTCTATCCCCATACATTAACCTCTCCAAACCTGAAGTAACATCAAGAAATATCAGTCTATCCTCATACAATAACCTCTCCATATCTGAAGTAACATTACAATTCCAGTTTAATCCTGTAAAATAACTCTTCAAAATATATCTATTTCTGTGAAATAACCTTTCCAAATCTAAGGTAAAATCAAGACGTTTCAGTATATCCACATACGATAACACTTTCAAACCTAAAGTAATCTGGTAGGTCTTCTTTGAACCGTTAAATAATTTTTTTTTTAAACTAGGTAACCAAAACTTGAGTACAATATTCCAAATCAAAGCTACGTCTTAAATATGTATGCTATTTCATATGAAGACATTGGCCAAGTCTCTAGACAAAGTACCTGTGACTTTTTGTTTTGTCAGGTGATTATGGAAAGCATTCAGGGAAGAGTGGTGTGCCTTTGAACTTGAAATCCTTATTCAGAGCTTTTTTCCATAAAAAAAAAAATACACTTCAAGCCTATTGTCAAGATGCACGTTCATCAGGTGGAGCATGACTAGATGTGTCAACCTCCATTATTGTGCATGTTGAAGCTCCAAAATTGGTTTAATATAATGTGCTCAACTTTTCTAGAGTAATCACTTCCTTCGGGTTGTACTTAATGTGCTTATGTATACATAGGCAGGTGTCTAGGGCACCAGATACTCATGAGGATCCAACATGAATAAACAGCCTTAATTTCTGTTTAGGGCATTTGTTACTTTATCTGTGGTAATATGAAACTTTCCTATGTGCTCTTATGGAATCTCTTTTATTACATACTAGTAATTTGCCAACAATTGAAGTAAGACTAACTGGCTCTTAATTTATTGTACATTGCCTCTCTTCCTCTTTAAAAATTGATGTTACCTTTAATAAAAATGAAAGCTGATTATGTGATGTTTGTTTTTTTTCCCTCTTTTCTTTCCATAGATAATCATTATCTGGCCTTATCCTCTTTCTGTATTCCAAACTTGAATGTTATCACACTGTTTTTTTCCTAACTTTATTAAACCATAACATATAATCTTCTGGAAGGAAATCTACTTGTGGAATCCCAAAACCCTCCAATTTCCATTTATTATAGGCACAACTTCCATTTCAATATTATTTTTCCCTTTACTTAATATACACAAAGTCCCACTCCAATTTTAAAAGTTTATTAGAAAAAAGCCAAAAGAGCCAAGAATTATGCAGTTCTATCACCTTCTTGCTTAACTAATGAAGTTGTTTTTCTTGATTTACAGATTGTAATCAGAGTGTCCAGTTGCTAATGGTTGAAGTTTGAATGAAGATGGCAATTACACAGGAGAAAACTCAATGTTCGCACTCTATACATGTAAAGTTGCAATCTCTTGTATAGGACTTTGTAATGTTAATCTTGGTAGCTGAAGTACAATGAATAGACTTTCTAAGGATGCGTTGGAACTTCTCCTGGACATTAGCAACAGTTTTTTCAGAAACACCTTGATGTCCACTTTGAGGCAGGTCAATTACTCTTCCTCTCTCATGAAACTTGTGAAACCACCTCATAATACTAAGTTTGGAGGGAGGATCCTTCCCATATTGATGGTGGTAATTCCGTTAAACACTTGTCATTGATCTCGACTCTGCAAACAAGATGACACATTGAGTTTTCTCCTGCGTAGTTGCCATCTTCATTTAAACTTCAACGATTAGCAACTGGACAATGTGATTAAAATCTGTAAATCACAAAAAACAATTCATTAGTTAAGCAACAAAGTGATAAAAACTGCATAATGCTAGCTCTTTTGGTTTTGTTGTAATATACTTTTAAAATTGGAACAAGACTTTGTGGACACACTGTATATATTTTATTTACTGTTAGTATTAACATTTCCTTCAATTAATACTCATATATCCTTTTAAGTTTTGTAATTTGTATTTTTTAAATGATGTGTTATTGTTGGCTCAGTCTTTTGGTTTTTAAAA